GCGGCGTCCCCCCTGGTCTAGTGCGGAGATCGTGGACCTCATCCAGGTTTGGGAGGCCTTCAACGTCCACGACCTCTGCACTAGGCACAGGACAGTGGCCGTCTAGGGCAGGATAGCTGCCAGCCTGGCCACCAAAGGCCACATGCAAACCCAGGAGCAGGTTTGCATGAAAATCAGGGTGGTCCAGTGAGACCCCCAACCCTGAGCCCTGAGCTTAGAACATAAGAACGGCCGTACTTCCACAAACAGAGGCCAGGGACACCGTCCCTACCCCCTGGCTAATAGCACTCCATGGACCTAACCTCCATGACTTTATGTAACTTCTCTTTAAACTCTGTTATAGTTCTAGCCTTCACAGCCTCCTGTGGCAAGGAGTTCCACAGGTTGACTATTTGCTTTGTGAAGAAAAACTTTCTTTTATTAGTTTGAAGCCTGCTACCCATTCATTTCATTTGGTGTCCTCTAGTCTTTATATTATGGGAACTAATGAAGAACTTTTCTTTATGCACCCCCTCCACACCACTCATGATTTTATAGACCTCTATCATATCCCCCCTCAATCTCCTCTTTTAAACCTGCTACCCATTAAACCATTTTAAACCTGAAAAGTCCCAGTCTCTTTAGCCTCTCTTCATATGGGACCTGTTCCAAACCCCTAATCATTGTAGTTGCCCTTTTCTGAACCCTTTCCAAGGCCAAAACATCTCTTTTGAGGTGAGGAGACCACATCTGTACACAGTACTGAAGATATGGCGTACCATAGTTTTATAGTTCCCTATCTCCTTCTTCCCCTGGCTTTCCCCTTCCAGCTCCCTCCTCCCAGGTTTCCCTCTCCCCTCTCCCACCTCCTTTTCCCAGTCTCCCCAGGGGTTAATCCCCCCCTTCCCCAGTTTTGTTAAATACAGAGAGTTTCTATTTTTGAGTACACGTGTCCTTTATTTTTTACATCAGGAAGAGGGGCTAGGGAGGGTTAAGTGGAAGGAGGTGAGGGAGGAATGGGGTACGAGCCCCCGATGGGGAGGACTGGGGTGGCTCTGCGGGCTCCTCAGAGTGGAAGCTCTCCTGCAGGGTCTCCTGGATCCTGACAGCCCCCCGGATGGCAGCCTGCAGCAAGTGCAGCTGGGCTGATGGCCGAGTGCTGTGAAGTGCCAAGTGTGGGCACTCAGGGCACTCCAAGACAGGATTGCTTTGCTGTCCCTCATCGAGGTAGACAAGCAAGTGGGGAACCCTGAGAACTGTTTGTCCGGGATGGGGGTCGGGTCCCTTTAAACACAGCCCTTGGCTAGCCTGAGGCTGCAGCTCCATGCTAATTCGAATTAGTTTTTAGGCCTAGATGCACTAGTCCAAATTATCTTATTTCGAATTAACTGATTTGAATTAAGTTAGTTTGAATTAGTGCTGTAGTGTAGACATACCCAAAGAAAGGAATTGGGCATCACTGATAACTAGCATTCACTTCTGCAGAACATAGACTGCACTCTTCATTGTGAAGCCTTGGGGTTAATCACCTCAGTAGCTTAATATCTGGCTAAGTGTTTCCCGCTATTGTGAATCATTGTAGATCTCTAGGGGATTACAAATTGTCAAAAGCAGCAATTCAGCTGTTGTAGATTATAACACCTCCCTTGTGCTTTTCTTTGCTCCCACTGGTGTCCTTAAGAAAAATGTACAGTAAGAAAATACAGTGACCTCTCAAGTCTTACATTTCTCATTGTGTGCCCTGCTTCCAAACAATACACATATAATTTGTGGAAATAAACGTTCTTGCAGAAGATGACTTTTTAAGAAAGTAAGTGGGTATTCTCAACTCTCACCAGTTCCACTGAAGTCAAAATGACATCCAGTAACCAAATTCTGAATGTAACTTCCTGTGTACTGTGCTTGGAACAGTAAATTGAAATGATCTTGATGAAAATGTTGTCGTCAGAAGACTGAATGCTTTCCTTTTATGTATATCAGTGTTTCTGAATGTTGCCTGACCACTAACGTAAATTGTGAATGGGTGTTATGTACAATAAAACCCTGGTAGTTTCCTGGAGTAGGCTGATTAGTGTTGTTTAGATAATGAAGAACTTGAATAACTTCCTCTCAGGAAACACTGAAACTGGAATGCTAAGCAGACATGCTAAACATACCAAAGCACTTGTATTGAAAGCATTGTTTGTACTTGCTATAAAAAAATCTCAGAAGTAAATCACATTTTCACAAATAGGGACAAGTTGCAAATCACAACGTCCACAAGGAAAAGTGTTAGTGTTTCTCATTTAACGGATTGAAGCAACAGAATTGGTTAGTAAATTGTCTTCATTTACGTGGAGGCCATTTGCTAACAATGTCAGATTTTGAAGCCAGGAATTGGGGCTCTACTTCTGCACATAAACCGAATTTTCTATGGTGGAAAAAGTTTTTATGCAGTTTTAAAAAAAAATCTGCATATGAAATCCCTGCTCTACATGCCCAGCCAATAATACTCTGTACCGTGTTATACAGCAGGTACCTGCAACAAGATGACAGGGTCTGCCTGAAACACTTTACTCTTCATAGAGGTGCTGCTCCAGCTAAGAAATGGCTAGCTGAATTCCATTACTACACTGAGGGCTCAACTAGACTACGTGGAAGATTCGAAAGAGGATATGTAAATTATGTGGAAATTTGCATATCTGCCAATCTCACTTTCGAAAGTGGATCTTCTGAAAGTGAAAGTAGTCTGGACACTTTTTTTTTTTTTTTTTTGAAAGCCGCATAAACCTCATGTTTTGAGAAGTGGCTTTTTAAAAAAGGGGATAGAGGTTGCTGGAAAAAACACATCCAGACTATTTTCACTTTCAAAAGATGTTTTCAAAAGTGAGAGTGGAAGAAGATATGCAAATTCCAGCAGAATTTGCATATCCTCTTTCGAATCTTCCATGTAGTCTAGACATAGCCTGAGAGAAGTGGTTTTTTTTGGAAACACCCAAGTCTAAAGCAGGAAGGAATGGCTAACTAGCGAGACAGGATCTAGAGTTCAGCAGTCTTTGAACAGCCAACCATGGGCATTTTTTTTACCTTCTAGTACAGTTCCCATATTAGGAAACATTTAACCACGAATGTTACCTAAACTCTCCATTCACAGTCTTAGTAACGCCAAGGGGGAAGCCCAGAGTCTGGTAGAGACAGGGGGCAGAGGTGACAGGTGGAGAATATTGGTTCTATTGCCTTAGTCTAGGGTTTTAAACCTAAAACTCTGCTACATCCAGGAAAAGCATTTGCTCTTCCGCTTTTTTTTTTTTTGCGGAGAGCAAACGCACTCTATCTGAAGCCTCTATATTCCTCATTCTGCAAGGAAGAAGGGGACTTTCAAAAGAGGGTTTTTCTTCCAACAGTTTGCCTAGTCCAGATGGGCCAAATGTCAGAAAAGCCTCTTCCAACAAAAGAATTGGAAAAAGGTATGCAAAATACGGAGCACATTTTGCGTACCTTTTTCCCGACAAAAATTTGTAGTCTAGCTATAGGCTTGTAGTCTACCTGTCTTCTTTTTCCACTTGCACAAATCATCTTCCTCCTTTACTCATTGCTTCTGGAAACTCATTGGTTCTTTACTGCTGATAAATATAAACCCACCTTAGTAGATGCTTTTCTGGGGTGAGGTCTGCTTAGTTGCCTGTAAATCCGAGAAGGGTTTATATAATTATAACAATTTTGGTTTTAATATGTATTCTAATATGTGTAATCTGTATACACAATAAGTAAAATGTATGATGAATGTTGATAAGTAATGATTTTCTCCAGTTATTTGTTTGTACAAAGACACTTTTGCAAACTCCAACTACTGGCCCTAATTTATGGTCTGTATTTAGTATCTTTAGAGATTTTCTAATGAATGGTCAGTACGAGAGTAATAGCATAATAATGAGCTGTCTTCAGATGTATTGATTTGGACTTAATATGCTTGCTCACTGATTTACCAATATGATTGCTTACTTACTATGCGCTGCCTATTATCCTGCTGATATACTTTTGTTACCATTAATAGGAATTGAATGAACAAATCTCAATGAGAACAAACAACTATGATTTAGTAAGCAATGAATAATATAAAGAGTATCACCTTTTTTAGAAAAATCAAGTCATTTTCATGTGTCAAAACAAGAATTATACTCGCTGCTAATAACTTTTCGACATGGAAACCTTTAATAGGAGCATAGTGATAGAGATGTAGCCGTGTTAGTCTGGGGTAGCTGAAGCAAAATGCAGGACAATGTAGCACTTTAAAGACTAACAAGATGGTTTATTAGATGATGAGCTTTCGTGGGCCAGACCCACTTCCTCAGATCAAGTGACTTTATACAGTTACAGAAACCATGTTGACTTTTGTCCAACAAATTATGTTCTTCTAAATGCTTCACAATTTTATTCCTTACTATTGTTTTGACTAATTTGCCCGGTACTGAAGTTAGATTTACCGGTCTGTAATTGCCCGGATCGCCTCTAGAGCCCTTTTTAACAGGGAAGTGTCGTAAAGCAGCAAACAGGAAAGAGAATGGGTGCCAAATAACTAAGGATACCAAATAATTAAGGATACCAATATCTCCCAAATATATTTTACTGCTTTTTGGATGACTGCTATTTAAATGTGCAGAATATTTCTTTTTGTCCTTCCCTAAAAACAAGTCTTCTCTAATCAGTCCCAGATAACTCTGCTTTTTTCTCAAGCAAGACCATAGTAATGTATGATGCACATTAGTAGTTTTACTTTTTTGAAGATTTTCATGATAAAATCCTTGTTGAGACTATTCAGAAGTTATTCAGTCAAAAATAATTTACAGTTCTTACTAGATGTAATCTCCCATCCTACTATCTAACCCCACCTAAATAAATGTGGTATGAGTTCAGATGCTGTCTACACTGTTCCAGGAAAAAGTATTTTTATTTGTTTGTTTGTATTGCAGGTGGCTTCAGGTGAGTGCAATGAAGATACAGAGGTTTATAATATCACCCTGTGCACTGGGGATGAGCTCACTTTAATGGGACAAGCGGAAATTCTCTATGCAAAAACTTCCAAGGAAAAGTCCCGACTCAACACCATCTTCAAAAAAATTGGGAAACTTAATTCCATCAGTAAACTGGGCAGAGGCAAAATGCCATGTCTCATCTGCATGAACCATAGGACCAATGAAAGCATTAGCCTTCCTTTCCAGTGCAAGGGCAGATTTAGCACTCGCAGTCCACTTGAGCTACAGATGCAAGAAGGTGAGCATACAATTCGCAATATAGTAGAAAAAACAAGGTTGCCTGTTAATGTAACTGTGCCAAGCCCTACACCAAGAAACCCTTATGACTTGCATTTTATCCGTGAGGGGCACAGATACAAATTTGTCAACATTCAAACCAAGACTGTGGTGGTTTGTTGTGTGCTACGTGGTAACAAAGTTATTCCAATGCATTTTCCCTTGCACTTGACTCTTCCAAAGTTTAGCCTCCCAGAAAGCCTTGTGAAAGGAGAGCTATGGCATGAAACTTTGGTCCAGCACTGGTTCAATATCTGCCAGGAACAGTTTGACATAGATGAATATTCCCGTGCCGTGCGAGATGTGAAAACGGACTGGAATGAAGATTGTAAGAGCCCTAAGAAAAGTCGGTGTACTGGGCACAATCATGTGCCCAGTTCTCTCAGCTATGCCCGGGATGAACTAACGCAGTCCTTTCACCGGCTGTCAGTTTGCGTTTATGGAAACAACTTACATGGAAATAGTGAGGTGAACCTTCATGGGTGCAGAGACTTGTGTAGCGAATGGGCCCTGTTTCCTCATGATGCTCTTCAATATCAGGACTCTGGTGATAGTAGCAGTGACTACCTTTTTCCTGAAGTTAGTGAAGAATCAATGTTTCTACCTGCAAAATCAGAACTCCCTTATGAAGAACTGTGGCTGGATCAAGAGTCTGGGAAGCCCAACGATCAGCCTCTTACTCGCTCTTTAAGTGAAAAAACCAAATGTGATAATTACAGAAGTTCTTTCCGATCAAAGTGCGGTACAGCATCTGTTCCTCTACCTGGAACGCTAGCAGCAGCAACAAAACCTTCAGATGTTTCCCTACCTCCGCCTCCAGTGCCTCCCAAATCAGAAGCTGTAAGTCAGTGTTAATTATTTATTTTTAACTGAGAGTGTTCTTGTCAAGACTGTTGGGCAAGACCCAATCTTGAGATGGGAAAGGAAGGGAGAAATGTGTACTGTAATCTGATCCTTACCAAATTGTACCGTAGGATTGATTTTAAAACAAATTAACTACTAACAGTTAATCTCTTCTGGGTTTTTTGGATTTATATTGCATTAGTTACTGCTCCTACACATAAGGATTCTCAGATCCTAAATGATCCCTTTGCTTTTCCTATTATACCTTTCCTTCAATGCCTCGCATTTTGTTCAAGCTTCTTGTGGCTGAAGTATGTTGGACATGATTCCATTCAGAATACTGTGAAGCCATCCTCAATTCAGACAGATTGCTACACAGTGATACTTCAGTATTTTCAATGTGTATCTTGTGTTAATAGTTTCAAATTTAAGTGAATTATTAATAGTGATAAAATGACTGTAGATTATTTTCTCTTCCATTATAAGATTGGCTATATTTTGGAGTATATTTAAATCATCCTCAATTCCAGCACCTACCAAACCAAGACCAATTTGATCCCTGGGTAAATTCCCCTCTGCCTCTTAGGAAAGTTCAAGGCAAACTGGGCAAGGTATTTGAGAGAGAGTTGAGAAGTCCAGGAGACCTTTGCTTTTGAGACTTTTAACAAACATGGTTTGATCAAAAGTCATGTGTCTAAAACAGCTGCCTAGGAATTCCAAATTTGGCAAGTAATAGATTGGTTTTAGTGAAGACAGATGCCTTGAGCTAATTCTGGATTTCTTTAAGGCGAAAGTGTTGTTTATTAAAAGGAGCTTACATTTCAAGTTGGATCCCTGCAGAGTTCTTAGTTTATAAGGCTTGATTACTTTTGTACTCTGTAGTAGTTATTCCCCCTTCTAATACTCCCCTGGAATTTGTTTAAAAATCCAGGGAGGTGAAGCTACAGATACTTCTGCCTCTGGGCCTCACACTTTAGGGGCTCCCTCAATCTCCTTAAATAGGCTTGGACGGAGATGATAATCTTACATGGGTTGCTGTGACTGCAACTTTCTTAAAGGTTTTTTAAAATAAAAAACATTCTTAGCCAACAGGCTCTGATTTAGGAATTAATGCAAAATCTGAATGCCTTAAACCTATCCTAGGTGCTTTTCTAACCTCTTTTCAAGGTTAACTAATGAAGAAAATTTTACCCAATTTAAACATCTTGGCTGTGTCTAGACTGGCCAGTTTCTCTAGAAAATCAGCCGCTTTTCCGGAAAAACTTGCTAGCTGTCTACACTGGCCGCTTGAATCTCCACAAAAGCACTGACTTCCTACTGTAAGAAATCAGTGCTTCTTGCAGAAATACTATTCTGCTCCCGTTCAGGCAAAAGTCCCTTTTGCGCAAAGCTTTTGCGCAAAAGGGCCAGTGTAGACAGCTGAGATTTGTTTTCTGCAAAAAAGCCCCAATTGCGAAAATGGCGATCGGGGCTCTTTTGCAGAAAAGCACATCTAGATTGGCACGGATGCTTTTCCGCAAAAAGTGCTTTTGCGGAAAAGTGTCCGTGCCAATCTAGACGCTCTGTTCCGAAAATGCTTTTAACGGAAAACTTTTCCGTTAAAAGCATTTCCGGAAAATCATGCCAATCTAGACGCAGCCCTTCTGAAAAAGAACCCAAACTCTCCCCCCATTCAACCTCTCCATCCCCAAACCCTTTGCATATGCACACCTGAGAATATACATATCCACTTGCACATAGTGGTAATACATTATAAACTGTGGGAGCAGTGACAGTGCCGGGGAAGTTCATATAAAGAATTGTAGTGCCAGGATGAGGCCCTCCTGAAAATCAGTACCCATCCTCAAGCTGGAACTGCAGCGTTATATAGTCTGTAAACATAACCCCAAGAGTTGCACTGACAGACAGTTGGAGATGCAATATTAAAGTATCTTGACAATGCAACATACGTTGTCAAAACAAGTGGCCATGCCAGCTTCTGTTGCATTCGAAACAGGAGTCAAATGAGCTTCCTGGAAAGAACATAAATCCATAGGAACAGGGTAGATTGGAACTTCACTTCTTATTAAACAGTGTGCAGTTACTCTGAAACTTGGTATTTTACAGTGCTAAATAAAAGCACATTAAATACAGAAACCTTAATTCAGTATTATTCTGGGTTAGTACGACTGAGTTTGGTTGATATTTCCATGAATGTTGCCTTTTAAAGTTTTCTTCAAAGTGTGTCTTAGTGATGTCTGTCTTAGCAAGGCGTATGTGAATAATTTGTGGCTGAGCAAAGTAAGTGATTTTTAGTATATTGGAACCAATTTCTGATAAAGTTATTAATATACATTTTCAGACAGGGCTGAGTGCAACCTCACAAAAACTTGTGTTTCCATACATCAGATAATTAATTAGAATCAGTTTTGTTCCTTTCTGGAATAGCTTTAGAAAGAACATCAGCCACCTACTGACTTCATCAGTGTGCGAGGGTTGAAAAGATGTTTGTTCCATTTCCATGAATAGTATTTATAGAGTTCAGTAGCTGCTAGTGAACATACAGTTTTATCATCACTCCCTTAAAATGACATTCCATAGTATTTCTCCATCAAACTTGGCTAATGCTTATACTTCTGAATACACAAAATGTATAATATACATGTAAAAGGGGAAAAAAGCTTGTGTGACATTTAACTATTTAGAAGTTTGACCTTTTTTCATCTACAAGATTATCAAAAGACTTTAATACTTTGTGAAAACACTATAATGTATTTTCTAAACATTGTATTAGAAAAATTGTGATTGTGAAAACAAATAACTCAATATAAAGGCCTATAAATAGGAAGTTGTCAGTCCTAAAAGACTTAATGCGGGATAGATTCTCTGATTTTTTTATTTTTTAAGCCTGTGAAGAACAAGTCAAGTTTGTATAAACAAAAAACGTTGAAAAAATATATTTAGGAAACGCTGATGTATTTCAAGCGGAGACCCCTGTTCATTTGATTTTAGCCATGATCTTTATCTTACTTTTAAAACTGTAGATGGGTTATATTCTGTGTCATGGATAAATGTTTCAGAAGCTCTGATGTCACTTAGTGCTTCTGAAAATTTTACCCCAAGAAGTTACAATGTCTGTAGACTGAAACTCTGGCAAACCAGGTACCTTTTTATGCCAAGGCCCTAGCTTTCAACTGAACAGTGACACATACATAGCTGGAACCTGTCTCTCTCACCTATGTTAGCATTGTTAAAATAGGTATTAGAATTAAAAAATGTGTTTTAGATTTTATGGAATGCATATAAGTTGCCGCATGCACTAATCTCATTTATAATTTCTATATCCCAGTGTGTGCATTGTAATCCTCTGTAAATTACCAGACAGGAGAGAAGCATTAACTAGTGCAGTGATACTCCAACCACAGTGGTTCAGGTACCACATCACCAACCAACATTACCCAAAAGAGCCACAGTAGTGTGAATTAATTGTTTCATTTACTGTCTATATCGATATCTCACAGCAAAATGACGAAGAATCATTACTTTATCAATTACAATTGGCTAGCAACAAAGTAAAAATATTCTGACTTGTTAATAATGAAATCACAATACTTACAGGGGCAGACAAGATACCGTCTGTGGGCCAGATTTGGCCTGCCAAGCTGCTGGATCCAGCCCATGCACTGCCCCGCCAGGATCCTCAGGCACACGCTAGCCAGCCACTTCAGAGCAGCCCCACGTCACTGCTCCTGTGTCTTTGTGCTCCAGGTGTCGGGGGGCGGGAGGGAGGAGGAGTTTTTGCAAAAACGGCCAATAGGAGCTGAGAGCAAGGTTCCCTCTAAGATGTGCGGTAGCACGGCTCTGCAGCTGCTTAATGAGCCCCATCCAGCCAGGGGTTCAGGGCTCCGCGATTGGTGCTGCCTGGCTGGGGGAGGGGCACTTCTCCCTCAGTGACAGCAGCAGCTCCCTACTGAGGACAGAGCAGCAAATCTCTCCTAGCCGGTAGCCAGTCTTTTCCCTGCTCTGTGCTCTGCAGGCAACTGCTGCTGTTGCTGAGGGAGAAGTACTCCTCCCCCAGCCAGGCAGGTCTGTTTGCGGAGTCCTGGGCACCTGGTGGGACAGGGATCATTAAGCAGCTGCGGGGCCCTGTTGTGGAGCAGCTTTGAGGGAATCTTGGCTGAGTGATTTTGCTGGGGGCAGAGGCAGTGTGCAAGCCCTTCCTCTCCCCCATCACCCAGAGCAAAGCCATTTTGAGCACCCTGGGGCTGCAGTAGGCAGGCAGCCTACTTCAGGGTCCTGCAGGGCTTCTGGCTAGGAGCTGCTTAGATAAGTGCCTCCCGGCCACAGCCTGCCTCTGGCACCTCAGCCCTGCCCCAGGTCACCCCCAAACCCTCTGTACCCCCTCCAGGTCACAACTCCCTCCCAGACTCTGCAGACCCTCCTACACCCCTTTCCTAGACCAGAATCCATTTCTGTACCCAGACCCTGCACCCCAATCCCCTGCCCCAGGTCATGATCCCCTCCTTCAAACTCCCCCTCACTTATACCCTCTGCTGCACCCCAGTCCCTGAGCTCCCATTTGCACCTAACCCCACATCCCCTCCACAGAAAAGTGTGGCCCTTGACCACTTACCAGAATCTTGGAGTGGCCCCCTCCCCCCATCAAAAATAATTGCCCATCCCTGGTTTAATATTTGCTGCAGAGAGCTGCAAAGAGCCGTCTGTGAAGGAGATGCATTAAGGAGCCACTTGCAGCTCACAAGCTTTAGTCTGAGTATCACTGAACTAGTGTGAAATACCAGTCTTCAGTAGTAGGTGTTATTTCCTGCTTAACAAAGGCCTTTGAACACTAGATTAATTATTGTGGAACATCAGAGGACAAAAGACTTCCTTGATTGCAATCCTCCCACCATGAAGAGGAAATGTGCACAGTCAATTGCTTCCATCAACCAAACTACAGCTCATATCAAGGGAATCAAACAAAACCCATAACAAAAAGAAATTAAATCTCTATGCTGTTTGGACACTGGGGAGGGCGAGGCTTTCGAGGCAAAAGATCTCCAGGATTTAGCCCGAGCTAGCACTAACGGACATATTAGAAAATGGTTTATCAAAGAAAATTCTGTTACCTTTTGAAACTTGAGACTGTAACTCATATATGTTTCCCTGCTATAACCCCTGTAAATAACTCCTATTCCTTTTCCTAGTTAATAAAGGTTTAGGTAATATATTATAGGATTGGCCGCAAGGAATATCTTTTGATGTGAGATCTAGGGCACAGTTGACCTGGGATAAGTGACTAGTCCTTTGGGACTGGGAGTAAAATGAATACTGTTGTGATTTTTTTTTGGTGTAAGGGACCATCTATCACAGAGTCAGATTGCCCAGGTGACAAGCTAGACAGGAGTATCCAAGGGGACTGATTATGACTCCATGGTTAAGTTGCTACGGTCATTGCCTGAGGAGTTTACACTGGACATGTGATTGGTGAAATTGAAGTATAAGAACTCTTGGCCAGTTTGCAGTTTTTGCCCAGTGTCATGGCTCCTTCCCCACTCTGGCATGATAAATGCAGAAGTGGGGGCCAGCAAGTGTACCCCAAAGCCTTATCTACCAGGCTTTGGTATCAAACTCCCCCCCAAAATCTTAAAAACCTAGATCTTGGGAATAAAACTTCCACTGCCACCACCCAAATGTTGATAAAGAAATCAGGGGAAAGATCATTTGGGAAATCTTACCCCTAAAATAAAAATCAAGGCACACAATTAACCACTGCCAGGTTAATAAAAAGAAAAGAAAGAACTTTTATTATTACAACAATATTCCTGTTGCAAACATAATGACTAGATAGGGAGGTGGTAAAATATACTCATGGAGAAACTCCATGGGCCTAGAACTTAGTTACAAAGAAAAGCCAAAACATCTTTTAAGCAGTGCCAGATCTCAGATCCCATACCCAATCCATAAAACAATAAAACCTAACGAAACTACCTAAACTTTACCCTACTTACAGAAAATGAAGAATGGTGTCTTGGAGAGAGAGAGAGACATGCTTGTCCCTCTCTGTAGCTGCAGAGAACTCCCAGAGAGACAAAAAGGAGAAAAGAAAAAACCCAAATTCCTTTGTCCCAGTTTGAAAAGTCCCACCTACATTCCTATTGGTCACTCCACCTGGCTAGGTGTAGTTAACCTCTTAATCCCCAGCCTGCTGGCTAACCCTCATAATCATGACACCCAGCTTCTTAAGTGTGCCCTCAGGTTTGAGCCTCAGGAACACAGCTTGACATACGTCCAATTCTGCCATCCGCCGTGTGGGTGGATCTCCTTTATAGGCCATAAGGCTCCGTACAGGCACAGAGAGCTGTCAGCATGGAGTTCAGTGCAAGACGAGCTTACACTGTGACTTTTTAAAAAGGTAGGGTAGAGTATCTGTTCTGCATGCAGCCAGGTGTCCAGTGTAAAAGATTGTGCTGCAGGTGGGCAATTCAGGTATTGAGGCTGAAGGGAGGGGACGACTCTTAATCAGGAATCATCATGGATTCCTAATTCTCTGCAGCATAAGGTCTGGGGTAGGCTTTCCCAACCTATGGGTCGGGACCCAAATATGGGTCGCTATTACATTTCCAAAGAGTCGCCAGGTATCTCCCCAGGAGGCTCTTAAGGAGCCATTCACACATTTTTTGAATTGCCCTGGGTCACCAACTCTTCCTGAATTATCAAAATGGGTCCCCATCTGGAAAAGGTTGGAAACCGCTGGTCTGGAGTATGAGTGTGGCAGGTCTGAAATAATGAAGTATGGGATTCCTGAGGACTTTTGAGAACTGATTATAAACAAGCTATTTTGTCTAGCCCTAGCAAAGCAAACACATGCAACTAGCTAATTTGACCAGTTCTGTTGACCAGTAGTTAAAAGAAATGAGAGAATAAAAAGTGGTTACCTACCTATAACTGTTGTTCTTCAAAGTATGATGCAGATGATACAGAGGCAAGAGGGGGCTGCGTGTAACCATGAAGGTTAACCAATGAGCCTAGAGTAATTGGTAAACTGGGTACATGGGTACATGTTCACATCCCTAATCCGTTTTAATGCTCATGAAATTTGAGCCGGACCTAGTGAAAGTTTTCCCCCAAGTTCTGATCAGTCTAACCTGTAACTTTCAGTCCCAACTTCTTACTGTGCTAAGTTTTATGGAAGCTGAGCCCAGGTATTTTATGGTGGTCCTGTGATGTGAACAAGTTGAGACTGCAAACTACTATTGTTTGTGGCCTTAACCTGAATTAGACATAGGATGATGTAGGTGACCTGTATTAAGCGTATTTCATTGTGCCAATCTCTCACGCTCTTTCAAGTAAAAAATTTTGTAACCCCAACTGCTCCGTATGTACAATGAACTGCACTGAATGTCCTGTCCCTGACCCCAAAGGCACGTTCCATAGTATGCCATATTAATGTTGCTTAGTCTGACTTCGTTTTTTGAAGTCCCTAGGCATTCTTGGGGGGAACAGCACTAAAATGGTTGAAGAGTTTTATGCCTCAATTCAATAACAAATGTAAGTAAAATTGATTCCAATTTTTTAGAGAGAGCAAGAGTCCTTAGAGTCAGATTTATTTCAGCATTTCATGCTATTGGGCATTTCCTGTGATTTTTAACTTTCCCTGAATTGAGAAAGGAATGTACTGAAATGTCCCCGTCCCTGATTTCCTTTTTTACATAAGTATTAAAAGGGTTGCTGCATTTGAGGAAACACTAAAGTAAATTGCAAGTTTCCTTTTTTTAAAATAAATTAAATCACTTTAAACGCTAATTGCATGTTACAGTGTTGCTGTAAGTTCAGCAGTGTTCCTAAACTTAGAAATCCAGTGTCTATCTAAAAGGAGAATTTCCTTTGCTCAGTTACATATTTAAAATAAACTGGATACAGTATATGAAGGGCCAAATATTACCTGTAGTAGGAGTCATTACAAATATGTACGAGTAACAAATATTTCTTTTGCTTGAAATCCACCTTAACAGGATGAGTTTGTATTTTATCAGGCTCTCTCCCTCATACTTTAGTCCATTTGTGTTACATAAGTGGTGGTGATCTTACTCTCTGAATTCTCTCTCTCTTTCTCTCCCCTCTTCCCTTGGTCCCAAACACTGAGTCTTTAGCTATTTCCAACTCCCTTTTTGAGCTTGGGAGCTTGAGTCCATTTTCACTTGACACCACAAATAGAAGAAAAAATATTTATGTCCATTTGTAAATGTACATATAATATAGTGTGATGAGTCACTTTTAGGGGTTACATAGGTTCTCTCAATGCTTGGCTTCTAAAATACATCTGGATTTTGGTAAAACTAAAATCAAGAACTCTCTGTTAGACCCAAACTATAATATATCTGTAATGACATGTATTATTATTATTATTTTATTATTATAAACCTAAACGCCCATTGGGCGGAATCAGTGAAGACTGAGAAGAAGGGTATATTAGTTATCAGGCAGACCTAGTATTAGGTCAACCAGGGTGTTTGTATTTTAGTGGCTTCAGAGGGTAGCCGAGTTAGTCTGTAACTAGAAAAACTTAAAAAGCAACGAATAATCTAGTAGCACTTTAAAGACTAACAAAACATGCAGATGGTATCATGAGGTCATCTGAAGAAGTGGGTTGTGCCCACGAAAGCTCATGATACCATCTACATGTTTTGTTAGTCTTTAAGGTGCTACTAGACCAGTGTTTCTCAACCTGTGGTTACAAGTACCCTTAGGGGTACTTGAGAGAAGTCTGGGGGGGTACATCAACACAACTGAAATTTGGAGAAAACTGAATTTTTATTTTAAGTTTTGTACTTTTTGCACCCAAAAATTTCATCGCCCACCCGGCTATGATTGTTATTTAAACAAATGTGTTGCAATGGTAGAAAAAATGTTGTGTGTCTGCAAACTGTAGGTATGGGGGGGTGTATTTTTAAAGGGGTACTTTATTTAAAAAAAAAAAGGTTGAGAAACACTGTACTAGACTATTCTTTGTTTTTTAAGTTTTTGTACTTTAGTGGTTAAGGATAGCAAGGAAGGCACAATTGATTACTATGCGCCCTCTGCTGGCTGGCAAAAAAACTTCTGCATATTTTCCATGAAGACCACTAAATCAAAAATGCAAGAGAAAGCTGCAAAAAGTGAAAATGGCAACCAAAATCAAGTGTCAGATATCCTAACTAGCGTGTTTCAGTTCCATAGTGCTAATACATCTGCTCTGGAGTGTTAATCAAATGCATCCTATGGTATGTAGGACATACAGTAGCAGAAATGTCTGAGGGGTAGCCGTATTAGTCTGTGACTTAAAAAAATGAGTAGTCCTGTGGCAGAGACTAACAAAAATATATATAGTATCATGAGTGATAGAAGGTGGGAATTAGCCCAGGATATGGTGGCCTTCTCAGTATTAATCATAAACTGTCCTAAAGCATTAAACCCTATTTAAATATTTTCACTTCCCATCTTAGGAAGGAACATTACAAGTAACTAAACTGTGTTAGCAAACAGATTATTTCAATGACTCATTAACCTGCAGTACACTCAATACCTGAAATATTCAGACTAAACTTCTACGCTACTTAAAGTTTCCTTTAAATACATTTCAGTCTTAGCTCCTCTTGAATGAACAAATATAAAACTAGGGAAATAAGAGCCTGAAAACATACACCAGTAATAAGACCTGGCTGCAAACCTCATGTAAATAATTGTCTCCGTAAGGCAGAGATCTTCTGTTTGGCAATGATGTATTATTTACCGCTAATGTTTTCTTCTCCTTCCTTCCTTTTTATTTCCTTCCAAGGTACAAACCTGAACTTACAGGTTCCATCTGTCGCAGAATGGTGTTGCCAGGATTCTTAAGCTATTTGCTAAATGTTCTTTTCTAATATAGGTAAGAGAGGAATGCAGGCTCCTCAATGCTCCACCTGTTCCACCTCGAAGTTCAAAGCCCTTGTCCACCAGTCCTTCCATTCCTCCTCGCACAAGCAAACCAGCCCGGCAGCAGACTCGCTCTCCGAGTCCTACTCTGTCCTACTATTCTTCAGGACTGCACAACATGTATGTGTTTGAGCTTTTAAATTAAAATACATCCCTCTATAGTTACCATGGTTTGTCTATGAACTTTGATATTTTTAACTGTTCTGGCAGACTATTTTGAAACTATTATGACCATTTTTTTAACGTTTTCCTGTCAATATATGATGCATGTTGGTGTCACAGCTTTGTGTTAAGGATTAACTTGGCAAAGTAGCTCTTTTTTAAATATTCAAAGGAAAGCAAACTTATATAAGCTGAAACTTAGTTTATTTTGCAGTAAGTGAAAATTATTTCTTAATTATTGCATACATTATCAGAGGTATGCAAGGCACAAGATAGAGAATCTGTCCTAAGTTTCTAGGGCAATCACATAAAATTCTATATAATGCTCAATTGAAAACACAGCCTTTGAAGAGAATGTTAAGACTTTGTGGCTTAAAAATGCAAGCCCGAGAATGCTACATGTAGCTTGTATGTGCAACCTTTACTCTGTGAAAAAATTAATTTTAATATCCTAGCAAAATTTTTATCATCACTCTTGTTTTGTACATTGCTCTTGAACATTTTTATGGAAGTATATTTATTAAGGTTCAGGTAGTAAATTGTGAAGTTAATTTATGTTGAAATTACCTTGCTAATTCAGACTAGTGGTGTGGTCCCAGTGTTGGGAACCATGCAGCAGGCAAATTATGAATAGCCCATAGTTGTTCTCCTGGACTTCCCTTGTTAGAAGTCAGTATATGCCATTAAGCATGAAGATGGATGTACCCATTTCAAAAAACAGATCTAACAACTGAATGTTCTCACTGTTCATATACACATCTAAAGATCTCATCCTGGACCCCTTTAAGCCCTGTGGCACTGAGTTCCAACTGGGTTGTTTGTTGTGGGTAGGAAAGGGTATTAATAAACATCTTCAGTGAATTTATTTCCATTTTTTAAAAGGTCATTAGATAGTCCCTTGTTCTTGTATCGTGGCAGAAAGTAAAAAGAAGTAAGGAATCCACTTCCCCTGTCGTGTGCATTTTGTACACCCCTGTCGTGCTCTCTTACTAACTATCCCTCTAACCTAGACTGGCCTTGAGCTGGATTCTCTCTTCTGCTGACAGGCCTGCTGACGGGGCAGGAGCAGGGAGAAACTGGGGCGCAAAGAAGGCAACTGGTACAGGGCCTGGTAATTCAAAAAGGCCCAGGGTGACAGTTGCAACAGCATTGGCCAGAACCCCTGGGCCATTTAAATTGCTGCTGGAGCGCCATACAGCATGCTGCAAGCAGTGCTGAGGGCTGGGGGAGCGGGGGGAGGTGCCACAGTCAGAGTGGTGTTGAGGGCTGGCTGCCTCAGCCCCGCCCTTTCCTCCAGAGGCCTTGCCCCTCCGGGGTTCATAGAGTTGGGCCCCCCAGCATCTTGCTCGGGGGTCCGGAATAGCTATCAGCCCCTTGTCTGCTGAGACCACTTTGCATAGCCTAAGTGGCACTAAATGCTCTTAAAACAGCAGGAGATGAACAGTGGAAAATGACCCTGAAGTACAGGGGTGCTCTCTCCTGTCGTAAACCTGCCACCTATATTAGCTGCCCACCCCCTTACATCTAGTGCACAGAGAAGAGGTGGTGAAGGGGGTCAGAGGCAGAATAGGGAGAAGAGAGGAGGAACACTGAGGAGGATTTCCGCTGTGCCTGATCCTCCAATGGTGTAAGTTAATGCTACCTCTGTGCAGCTATAATGTGTGCGAGGGAGGCATGATCCTAAATCAGTGAGCAGAGCTGGCTCTCTGCAGCCATTTTCTCCACTCTGTCTTAGCACACAATACCTTTATAAAATGCCATCGTATTTTTGCTGTTTTCTGTCCCAATCTTTATACTGCCTGACTTTTCCTTTCTACAGCAATTGTGTTGAGACTTTTAGTTTTCTGAATTTTAGGTTGTGCCAGTCACTTTTTTTTAATGAATATAATATGATGACAGCAAAATATCTGGTATTAAAAACATTAGCAGATAAAGCATAATACTTGAGTGTAATATCGTTCCAGAAATTTTTTCTTAGACAGATACATCTTCTCTGACTTTTCCAAATTGACATTGTCTGTTATCACTTTTCCACTATTTGCCATGTTTTGTCTGCAATTCAGCCATGATTGAAGATCTTCCAGCAGTTCAAGTAGGGCCTTATTTATAACCATTACAAGACAAATAGTCAACATCATGTAAAGGAAATAGCCTTAAACTTCTCAAGTAGCATTTTTCTTAATTATCCATTAATTTTGATTATTATTGATGGAACATTTTTTCATCTGGGTATATATGGGGAAAATGGGCATTTACTGATAAAAATCCAGTCCTTTAAAACCTAGTTATATATATGAAAGATTCAGATAACTCTTTTCACTTCTGTGCTTGTTTGTCTACTGTACATGTAGGTATTTTGTAAATAATCCTGTTCATTTTAACTTTCCAGTGTCCCTGTTACTAAAAGATGACTTACTGGTCTGTCATTCCTAGGACTACCCCCAAACATCTTTAACGGGGGAGGGGGGAGCTAAAACATTTGCTACTGTGCTGTCCTCTATTATATGCCTGATTTTAATAGGAGATTACATAGTTTATTTCGCAACTGCACTGCTCAGTTCTTAAATCCTTCCAGCACTCTTGGATATAAATTATCTGATCTTGAATTTAATTTACCAGTTAGGACTATGCTTTCTTGAGTGCACTTGAAAGGAAGAGGCACCTGCAAATTTAAATGGATTTTATATGACAGCAAACTTTCATTATTGTTATTGTTTTACTTGATCTGTATTGTTGCCCTGACATAAAGCACTGATCCTGTCTGGCAGAGTATTGTAGCAATTTTAAATGTTTCAAGGCTTGGATTATTTGCCCACTACAGTGGGATTCCAGTTCTGATTGGGACCATTAGTAAATAGGAATATTTACTGTTAATAATAAAATACAGTATTAGAAGATGCTGTGTAAGCTTGTAGAAGTGCTCCAATACCATGGTGTTTGGTATAAGAAGCTAGATTGGGGTGCAGCAGAATAGATGATATTTGAGATATAATATGTAGTTTCTTGCAAGTCTTCTGGTGTTTCTTCCTTTCACTTGAATTGGAAGAACCAGGCCAGATGCCTTTCTAATGATATGCTTGTGTACTTGGGCATCTCTCATTTAGGCTAGTGCCAAGACATGCAAATGTGCACAACGGCTAACAAAATAATAAACTTATATGAACCTTTTCAGATGTTAAAAGTTCTTCTGGCTTGGTTCTTACTTTCTGTAATTCCCATCTCCTGGTTTATAAGGCTAAATATCAACATAGCTTAAATACTAACATGTCTTCATATTAACTATCTTTTTTGTTTTGTTTTTTAGCAGTATCACAGAAGGTGATACAACAAATCCAACTGAGACTGTCCCTATTTCTTGTTACCCTTGCAACATGATGAAAACTGAATCAAAAGAGCCTGACAGCAAGATAACTTTTGGAAGCCCATCTGCTGAAACTCTGCCTTCTAGGTTGTCCTGGCCAAACCATTTTTCTGTAGCTGCTGAGGGCTCAAATAAGAACAATTTTCTGCTGGATCCAAGCAGAAGTTATAGTTATCCCAGGCAGAAGACTCCAGGCACACCAAAGAGAAACTGTCCAGCTCCTTTTTCTTTTGACTTTGATGGGTGTGAACTCCCTGCTGGGTATGCTCAGTTGGCAACAGCAGAGTTCAGCAGCACCTTCTCCAGTTGTCCAAAGTCAGCAAGCTACTCTTTAGAATGTACTGATGAGAAAAATCTAGCAGGCAGCAACGCAAAGCAGAGTCATTCATGCCCTGCCTTACCTCCTCGTGCACCAAAATCCAATGATGAGAAGACCGTTCTAAATACATGTCCTTTGCCTCTGAAAATAGATGGTGCTGAGGAAGAATCTCAGACTGGTTCGCCAGACCTCTCAGAAGATCAATTTCCTGTTAAAAAGGGCATGCAGGACATTTTCTCTGTTTCTTATCCTTTTTCATCCCCCCTACACCTTCAGTTAGCACCAAGGTCTTGTGGTGATGGCTCTCCTTGGCAACCACCCACAGACCTTTCTGGGCTTTCAATAGAGGAAGTGTCAAAATCTCTGAGGTTTATTGGTTTATCAGAAGATGTCATATCATTCTTTGTTACAGAGAAGATTGATGGCAATTTACTGGTTCAGCTTACAGAAGAGATCCTTTCTGAGGACTTTAAGCTAAGCAAGTTGCAGGTTAAGAAAATACTGCAATTCATTAATGGCTGGCGGCCGAAGATGTAGTCCAGTGATTCTCTGGTGTTTAGCAAACGTATGTGAGAGATGTGCTAGAAGTGCTGGGGCTAGTACGTCATTTCCTGTTTTTGCACTAAAAGCCCTTTCTGTAAATAATAGTGGAAGAAATTCTTACTATGCAGATAAAGTTTTAATGTGGTGACAAGATTTTTATGTCAATAAAAATGTAGAGAACCCATAGAAGTGTGCCTTGTGCATCACTGAACATTCAGCAGCTGCTAAAAACTGGACATTAAGAGAATTCATTTTTACTCATGTAGTCTGTCAAGACATGGTATTTATTACTGAACAATTAATCTGAAAAATCACACACAAATCCAGTTTGTGTTAACAGCCAAACAAACAAACAAAAACATTTCTTCTAAGGTTATTTCTGTTCAGATTATTGGCAACATGCCATGTCTTAGTTTTTTTCCTTTTCTACTGCTAATAAAGTATATGATGAAATATATAAAACATCATTTTTAATATTATATTTGAACTTTTTAAAGAGTTTTAAAACATCTTTTGAAATGCCACTAAAACGATATATTTGCAGGATAATTTTACCAAAATATCTTCATGACTACCTAGACAAATTTGCCATGTTACTGCTTCTGAGTAAAATATTTATATATATATATGAAATAAATAAAGCTTAGTGTTCCTGAAAATAAAGAGCCTGCTTATCTAGTTGACCATGGGGGAACTTGTTTGCTACTATGAACCATTCTGCTCTTGCCATAAACTAATTAAGAGTTCATGATCCATAAATTTCAAAAGGTGCTTTGTTGTCCAGTAGGTCACTTAATAATATGACCACCAGGTCATGTCAATTTCTCACGGGAAAGGCAGTTTTACTTCAACTCAGTTCACATGTTTCTTTGGCAGAACCCCATGTGGCATGTAGTAAGTTGAGTCTTTTGTTAAATCTCACATTCCACGTCCCTCTCATCAGTTTGATCATCCTTACTGTTATGATGAATTCCATGAACCCATCCAGACTCTGCAATGAGCTCTGTGCAGGCTGATACTGACCCTTGTATAGAGTCCCCCTGAAATAAATCATTGCTGAGGTACAAAAGCACACAAACTCCCTGTAGCAGTATGGACACTGAAATTTAGAGAGGATTAAATACACTGGGTGAGATTCTGTGCTCTTTCTCTAGGGCCTTGCCAACACTAATGCTGGGAGTTGACGTAAATTACATAAGTTGACATAGCTTACACTGATGTACAGAAGTGTCTACACCATGCTATGTCAATAGGAGACACTCTCCTGTCAACCTAGATTCTGCTTCTTGTGGTGGTGGTTTAAGTCAATAGGAGAGCACTCTCCCATCGACTTACCACATCTTCACTAGACCCATTAAATCGATGCTGCTGCATTGCTCGCAGCAGCACAGATGCAGTTTGTGTTGAGGACAACCCCTAACACCCAGCACACAACTCGGGAAGCCTTGGGAGGGTGAAGTGACTTACAGCAACTTTTTCATCCTTTCCAACTCTGGGCTGTTTGGGGTGCAAAATGAACCTGACCAGTAACTTAGGCAGCCTTCAGCAGCCTGTCACTTTCTGCTTATGAGCAGCAGGGTGGCTTATGATCTGTAAAGCCTACCCCCACCTGCCTTGTCATGCCCTGCATTGTCTCACCCTTATGCCAGGATTTGCAAGGTGGTCTTCAAGAGCCTGTGACTATCCTCAATTCCTGCCCTAGGGGAATTCTCACCCGGCTAGACCCAACCATGTTAGTGTCTTAACATCTCTCTGCCTTGTTCACCTGGAGTGCAAGGGCCTGAGCGGGGGTGAGGATGTCCTCCAATATTTATATTTTTGACACTCAGAAAAAGAACTTTTGCTATTGAGAGGAGAATAGTGGACCCAGAGAGCAGACAAAAGTTTGAGAAACTGACTGTCTTCTCATCCACTCAGGGAAAGGGGTGTTTATAAACAATCAATATGCTGCCTTTGGGTACGTCTAAACTACATGGCTCCGTCGACGGAGCCATGTAGATTTGTTGTTTTGGAAAAGTCAAATGAAGCCGTGATTTAAATGATCGCGGCTTCATTTAAATTTACATGGCTGCCGCGCTGAGCCGACAAACAGCTGATCAGCTGTTTGTCCGCTCAGCGCGCTAGTCTGGACGCTCCCCTTTCTTAAGCAAAGGGAAATGAAGCCGCGATTTAAATAATCGCGGCTTCATTTAAATTTAAACGATCAGCTGATCAGCTGTCTGTCGGCTCAGCGCGGCAGCCATGTAAATTTAAATGAAGCCGCGATCATTTAAATCACGGCTTCATTTGACTTTGCCTATGTGTCTAATCTACATGCCTCTGACGACAAAGGCATGTAGTCTAGACACAGCCTTTGACCTGGACACATCTCTGCTCATGTCTTAGTGCAAAAGGCAGCTTTATTATTTTTGTTGCAGGAGCATACAGAAGTCCCAATGAGGAATAAAGACCCTATTTTGGTGGGTGCCAGACAACCCTAACAAATAACAAAAAATCTCCTGCCCTAAAGTGTGTTTTTAATTGTAACATCTGACTAGATAGCAGATTGATAGAATAAATCAATAACTTTGCCAAGCTGCTTTTTTGTTGCTCTGTTAATTAGGGTTTGTAAATATTCATTCAATGGTTTACATTTACTAATTATATTTGTAAAGTTCAAGTAAGGATCAATTGGATAAACTCAATTTATGTCCCGAGTTCAATGCTAGTCTGTCCTTCAGGCTGTGTAGGATGCAGTTATTATTTTTGGCCCTAATTAATCCAAGTGGACACATTCAACATTGGAAGGCCCAAACTTTAAATGTATTTAAAAGTATTTCTGTGTGTTTGATATATTTGTTATGCTTAGAAAAGGTTTGCTCTTCCAAAGAGAGTTGAAGTCTTGCTAACATTTGAGCATCTTAGATGGTTCTCAGGATATTTAAAAAACATACAGAAACTGGACTTGTTTGATTACAATTGGTTGCATGCAGCTGTGCTCTGCCTTGCCTGTTGGTCTGTTTTGCTTGAAGACAACCTATCGGAATCTGAAAGCAGAGATCTGAGGCATTAATATTGCACCAGCCTAGTCTAAAGTGGATCAGGCCTCTTAAAAGTAGGTCTACACTGCAATGTAAGCCTAGGGTTAGTAGAACTCAAGCTGGCAGACCCTGGGTTTGTAAACCCTGGGTCCCAGTGTCTTACACTCCACTTTATGGTGGCCTAAATTCAATCCTCCTGTGTCCCAGACTTCCTAATCCCTTCCCTAAAGGTGACCTACTGTTTGTGGTGCAGTGTGGGGAAAAACATGACTGTCTGCCAAACTTGACTGTCCAGATGACTAAGAGTGTCTGGAGGACACTGCAATTTTGGTGGAGTCCCGCACAATGACTCCAGTGGGGCTGCTTGATTCAAGCTCAGACCTTTACACCTTGTGGGGTCTGAGCTCTGGGTTGATGCAGTTTGTGTGTAAAGAAGGGGAGTTAGGCTTCAGCCAGACTTCGAACCCTGGGATTTTACACTACAATGTAGACCTATCTTCTCCCCTCCCCTCATTAAGAACAGAGGGATATATGTTTGTAGAAGTAGGTTCCATGTACAAATTCCCAGCTGAGAACATAATTGCAGGCCCATCAGACTTCTGTGCTCCTTGAAATGTCTTGTTCTGCCTTGGGTCTTCTTGGATATCTTTATGCACAGTACATTAGTGTGAAACATTTCCTCCATCTCCTTTTCCTAAAAAGCAGTTCACAGGCTTAATTTTCCAGTCCTTTATTAGAATTCTGTCAACTAATATATAACTGTAAAGAAGGGACTTTTTTTAGTCCTGAATCGCTTAAGAAAGCTGCCTGCTTGAGCTGTGGGCCTGAGTGAGGGCTTTTAGGCACTGGAAGGCTTAAGTGCATAATTTGACCAAGTGACTTTGGCCCAGATGTTTAAGGCTCTCCATGCCTTGCTGCACTCAGCATTGCAATACTCATTTCCAAAAGGGATGTTAGGCATTTGGACGTATCTACACTTAAAAACTTAAGTCGACGTGTATTGGTGGGAACCCTAAGTGCCTGTCATTTGGGTTTTTAAATCAGGTGTTGTGATGCTGAGCATGGCAGAGCCTGAATAGCTTTAAAAACCTGGGCCTTTGGAGCATCAATCTTAAACAAAAATCCAACAGATTGTACAGAGCCTGAATAGCTTTAAAAACCTGGGCCTTAGGAGCATCAATCTTAAAACAAAAATCCAACATGTTGTTCACGCTTAGATTCAAAGCTGTATTAAAATTCCCTCCTCTGATTAAATTGGAAACTTCCAAGCAGATCTGAGTACGGAACATCTCCTATGATGTGCTCCAGCTCCTTTTAAGTCAATGGGAGGGGGGAATGCTTGGTCCTTTATGGGACTGGGACTCTCTATGAATGTTACTTTTATCACGTTGAACAACTTTTAGCACATTCTCCTTTTCTGAACTATGCTATTCTGTGCTTCCAGGCCCTTTTTACAACTTAACAGCCAGCTCTTAGACACCTGAATAAATCTGTGCCTCAGTCATTTGGCATTGAAATACATTCATAGATTTAGAGCTTGTGGATGTTTTATTCTTTTTATTCTGAGTGAGACACTTTGACATGTATTTTTCATACAAGCAAATTCTTCAGTTCCACATGGGAAAACAACTTTACTCTTGTCAGTGTCAACTGTTATCCTCTTTGATGTGCATTTGAAGTAGCTTGCGTGTCTCTTTCTAAAGATACCTATTGAGCTCACTTCAGAGATCCACCACCTGCAGGACTGGGTGCTAAAATGACATGCTTAGCAGAGACCCCCTTCTTCTCCCAAAAGTAGAAGGTTATTCCAAACTTCGGATTTCCTTGTTTGTGGAAATGAGGCCACTGATACTTATTAAATGATTGGTATTTGTAATACTTTTCTTTCTTTTAAAAGTACAAATTCTGTAACACTACCCTGAATTGAATCCTGTTCTGTGGTTTGTAGTGCGCTCTACCTGCTGCACTATGTTAATGCAAACTAGGTACCTTTTAGTTTGTGCCAACATAATTTACATGGAGGCAGTTAGAGACTTTACATATCACATCCTTCTAATGTGCTTTACTGTGTTGTGTAGACAAGTTCTAACACAAGGGGGCTTGTCTACTTTTGTAAGGGGTCACAACACATTTTTTTCAGAGGAGGGGGAAAATGTAGGGGAAGCTCTCTCTTTACATACTATTTATTACTTACTGCCTGTCTGATTAACGAAGGTCTAACTGAAATCAGTTTGTTGTCTTTGTATTCAGATAGTTTTAATGCAGCAAAAGTAAAAAAACACTAAGAGTTTAGTGCTACAAAGTTAGAGGCTAAAGACACTTGATGCATCAAATACAAGAAGGCAAATGTCTTTTTGAAAAGCTTTCTTTGCATTTAAGAAACAGTGGATTAATGCACTCCATATTTTGCATGCATTTTGTCAGTATCACCCTCTAAGTTTCTTCTTAAATTGATTTTATTTTATAATATCTTTAACAGTTCATTGTGTGAATGGATCCAACATTTAAAAACCTTTTATTTGAAATCTGGTAAGTGCTTGAAGTGTTTTCTGCTTTGAGACAACTTCTTGACTCTCTACTAATTAAAAACGGTTAATGCAAGTTATTTACCTTTTAGGTTTCTATCACTAGTAGTGAGTTGGATGTTAGAGGGCAAGATGTGACAGAAGGCAAGCATGTGTGGAGCAGAGGTAGGCATATGACCTTTTAGGGACCACAGGAGGAATCTACTTAGAAGTATTACTGGCTAGACCATAGAAAGGGGAGCACACTAAACTAAGAATGAGTTTCTGGCCTAGCAGAGGGTGTTAAGAAGCAAAACCTGGCCACAGACCCAACCCACCAAGTTGCTTACCTTTGTCTATGTGGCACAGAAAAACCCACCCCTGGTCCATGCCAGCCATCTTGAGTTCTCTGGGCCTGGCCTGCAGGGCTGTACCATTGCTGTGTAGACTTCCAGGCTTGGCTGGGGCCTGAGCTCTGGGACCCTCCCACATTGCAGCAGCCTAGAGCCCAGGCTGTAGCCGAATTTGGATGTCTGCACAGCCCTGTGAGCCTGAGCTGGCTAGCACCAGCCAGCCACCTGTGTCTAGTTGCTGCGTAGACATACCCTGTCTGTGCGTAGTGTTGCAATGCTCAAAGTGCAGACCGGAGGAGACTAATTAAATCTATGGGGTGGGAGGGTGAAAGTTCTTTGAGTAGATGCCTGTGTGTGTACCCAGCACACTGGAGCCAGATAACTTTGCTGAGCATTTGTAGCCCCTTCATTGGCTACGTAAAGATAGTGATGCCCCAACTTCTTCAGTTTCTTCTCAGCACTCGTGACTGAGAAGTGCCCTGTCTGATGTCTTCTTGCACTTTTGCTCTTACTTTTCTGAGAACTTCCCTTGTATGTAGAAGTGCCTTAGGCTTAGTTTGTGTTAGTTATGTAACTGCATAGGCTTTGTCTATGCTTATGGGATGATTGATGCTGCAGAGAGTCATCTTCACGGGTTTGATTTAGCGGATCTAGAAAGGAGCCACTAAATCAAACTCTGGCATCCCCACCGACCCTGGTACTCCATGGCGTTGTGAGAAGGAAGGGAAGTCATCAGGAGAGTTTCTCCCATCAACCTCCTGCTGTTGGGAGCAAAACAAATTCATTTTGAGGTATGTCAACTCCAGCTACGCAATTCTAGTAGCTGGAGTTTCGTATCTTAAATTGAATCTATTGCCTAGTGGAAGATCTGGCCTAAGCCGTGTGCACCCCCAGAAGAGAGGTGTCTTTACACATTGGATGTCAGGTGCTGTCTAGCATTTTATCTAGGGAGAAATAAGACTTTCCATTCCTCACCTTGTCCATTTGTTTCATCTGTGGGCCCAATGAAAGGCCAAGCAGTCTCTCCACAGGTGGATAACTTCCTGTGTTGTGACAGCATATGATGTAGCCCAGATTACGCCTCCACAAGGGGTATGAGTTCATTCCACGAGAGC